AAAAGGCCAAACAGCATTTCTTGTGTATAGTTACTCATATTCTTAAGTGTTGCAAAATACCAAAGGGGGGGGAAACAGAAAGGGAGGTGGGGAGTTGGTGGTTTTAAAAATATAGTGAGTAATTGACTTATGCTAATACCAGTGTACTCATAAATGAGTAACAATAGTGAATTTAGAAGGGCTATAAGTAGAAGAGAGGCTATTTAAAGGCTGTATAATACTAAAGGCAGCTGAATTGGTCACAAGTAAGGATTCTCTCTGGGAAATCTGGAAGTAGTTCAGTTCACCCCCACAAAGTTCTGTTTCTCCTTTATCTAAAGGAGTCATCTTGGGGAAGTTAAGAATTCTTTCAAGTATGGCTTCTTTTCCACTTGTTTCCTGGGGGGAATTCATGGCAGATAAACTTGTGTGTGGTTTTGCATTGAAGAAGTGCCAGTGGTAAGCAAGAAAAATCAATTGATTTTTTTAAAAGGTCGGTGGTGATGTTTATGAACTGGAAACACAAAAGGTTTGTTTGAATTTATTTTCTTAGCCTTTGTTTCTAAAAATGGTATAAAAGTATAAGAACTGACCAACCATCCTTTTCATAAACATAGATGCTATCTTCTTTTTAAACAAAAGATTATAGCATATAAATAAAGCAAAATAAAACTGACCAAAATGTGAAGACAGGAAAGTCTGTTGTGGATTTTCAATTATGAGCGTTTAATCAGAAAATTTGTTTTCATTCATGTTGAAAATATTTTAAATGTTATGTATTTTCCTTGGAATTCCTTTTCTCTAATATCAGTTTACCCTGGGCCAGATAAAGGGATTTTATGTCGTTTTCTATCATAGTATCTGTCTTATTTTTGTGGATATTAATTATTGTCTGGTCTCTTATCCTCATTAGAATTACACTCCGTAAGGACAATGGCACCATGTTGTGGGTTATTATTGTAACACCAGCACCAACCTAACCCAGTGATCAGACACTTATTATTTGATCAAAGAAATAAGATCATAAACCATACATTAAAGCTGGATTTATCCAGATATGTCTTGGGGATTTTGATGTCATTAGCTAAACATATGACATGACTGAGTAATTTTTAGCCAATATCTTTAAATGAGCTTATTTTTCCATTGGTTTTGTTGTTGTTGTTTTGTTTTGTTTTTGTTTTGTTTTCTCTTGTTACTTGAGATTTCCAGGGACTTGGGTCACTTTTTTTAAAAAAATTTTATTTATTTTTCCATTGATTTTTAGAGAGAACGGAAAGGAAAGGGAGAGACACAGAGAGAGAAACATCGATGTGAGAGAGACACATCGATTGGTTGCCTCCCACACATGCCAAGCCTGCAACCAAGGTACATGCCCTTGCCGTTGATCAGAATCGAACCCAGGACCCTTCAGTCCATAGGCCAAGACTCTATCCACTGAGCCAAACCAGTTAGGGCTCACTCTTAAATATATATTTTATATGTAAAATGTATATGGAATATAATATATTCCACATGTATGGAAGATAATCTCAAGTTCTACTCATTTGGGTAAAGCTTTAGATAAAAAATTTAGTATCTCAAAGTGTATGAATTTGAATGGCATGAAGAGGAGAGACCAATATCATATTTTCTTGGTGAAGGCATTCTCTAAAGGTCTTTGAACAACTAATTGAATGGAATATTTGTTAAATAAATTTGAGGTCATAGGCAAGTTGATGAACAGTTTTGATTTTTTTTAAAAAGAAACCTAATGGTTTAGAAATAGCAAATTGAAATTCTCATTAAAGCATATATTTCCCTCAGTTTAATTCAACATGAAAAAGTATATCTTTGCATTTTAAAGTTGGAGATAATATAAGTAATTATGTCTTAACTTTAACAGCCTGTTCCCTCAAAACTGGTGATAAATTTAGATGAAGTTTAGAGCACCAGAAAAACCATACTGTAGAGCTTTGTGTTGTATTTAAGGAAAATTTCTTCTAAAAAAATTGCTTTCACAATTGGAGAAAATTGTATTTAAAAGGAAATCATTTTTAAGACCCAATTTGGTTATTATAATCTATCCTTTATAGGTTTTGTTGGTAAATGAGAAATAAATGCAGAGAGAGATTTATATGGATATTTGATTTAAGAATTGCCTCAGGACTTTTGCAGGGTACTTTAGTCCAAGTTGAGGGTATCCCTGTTTCTATGTCTTCTGGTTTTGGCTATGGCCAGGTGTTACAAGTATTTTCTCTCTCATTTAGAATCATTGTTTCCAATTCTTTCTGAAGTATACTAAGTGCCTACTCTGTAAAATTCAGAAAGTGAATGTTTTCTTGTCTTATATAAGTTTAGAACTTGGGAATAAGTTAGTAAATGGCATGACTCTATTTTCATTTTGACATATAAGCAACCCCAAACAGGTTTAATCCTCTTTTTAAAAAAGTCACATTAGCAATGTTTGAAATATCTTTGCTAAAATGAAACTTCAGGATGGTATGAAACTCATTGTCTTGGGTTTCTTAGTGCTTCTTAACAGAGAGCTGTGGCAAGTTGAGGAGCATAGATGACAGGAATGTTTTACAAGGAGGTTATTGATGGGCAGGAAATGTTACAGATAAATAAGTTTGGAGCGCAGAAACCAGCCTGTACTGGAACTGGTAAACATATATATTTGGCTTTAACTTTCAAATGAACTTAGGTTTTTAGCTTAGACATAAAAAAGGAATCTAGAAGTTATTGAATAGCTAACCCTTCCATTGAGCAGTAAAGGTCAATGAGGTGTTGAGTATTGAGAGTCATGGAAACAAAGCTGGGAAAACATTTTTCGCTCCTTGCTCTGAATCTAATGCAGTTTTCAAGTGTGCAGGAGGATGGGAAGTTTTTAATGTTGGTCACCACTAAAGAGAATGGGTTGCCTCAGATGTAGAGATCATGTGGCACAAAGTAAGGGCTCAATAAGTGGGTTGAATGACAGAATTTCTAAATGTTATCTTAAATTTCTGGAAAGATAATGAAGCTTAAATCCTGGAAGAAGACATTCAAGAAAATAAAGCAAACATTGTTTTACGCAATGAGTTAAATCGTAGAATCTATTGCAGCTATGAAATAAGCTCAAGAAGAATTTACATCATGTGATGATGACAGACATGTGAAAAGAGGTGTCCGAAGAAAATAGGGTGCCATCTAGTGGAATCATTTCACATGCATTGTATTAAACTATTTTAGGTTTAGGTTCTTAATAAAACATCTAACAATTGATTTTCTTTCTCAAAGAGTGTTTTTTAACTTATTTATTTGGAACTAATTTTATATTTGCAGAAAAGTTGCAAAAATGGTACACAGAGTTCCCATGTACCCATTACTCAGCTTCCTCAATCTTGTATTAACAGTGGTACACTTATCAAGACCAGAAAATGAACAGTGGTACAAAACCACTAAGTTCTGGACTTTATTCGGATTTCACCAGTTTTTCCACTGAAGTTCTTTTTCATTTCCAGGATTCTATTCAGGATCTCACGGTGCTTTTAGTCATCATGTCTCTTTTGGTCTCCAATCTGAGACAATTCCCCAATTCAAGAGTGTTTATTAAAAATATTTCTCTAAGGATTGTGTCTGTTGTAAAATACATTTGATAATATAGGAGACTTAGAAAATTAAAAGGTGGTTTTAAAATGAGAATTTTTTATCTAGAAATATTTATCCTGCTTATACATTTTATTTCCCCAAAAATCTTTTAAAATAGCTTTTTTATATTTGTAAAGTGCTTTATAAGTTTTACTTGTTCTGAAAAGTAGTGAGAGAATTGACAATTTTCTCATTTTGCTTAAAAGGAAATTGAGCCTTAGGGAAGTTATATATTTTGCCTGAACTTGAGCCGCAGTTTCATGCATACTGGCAGGTAGGAAAGGGTCGATAAATTATACAGCAATTGAAAATTAAACCTCATTTTGCCAACATTTTTTTATTATGACAGTAACCAAAATTTTGAAACAAAAGACAAATCTTCTAAAATTATATCAAATTTTTTATTCTCTAAAAGTTGATCCCTTAAATGCTTTCAAATGCTCTCAAATTGTCACATTTGAACACCATATATATTTATCTAGTTTTTTTGAAGTAATAGTTTGACCTTCTATTCCAAGAGTTCAAGACTGACTTTTTGCTGCTTTGTATATTGAAAGAAATATTTCTATTACAAGTTGTTTTTAAAAATAAAAGTGACTTTTGGTCCTTAAACAGCATCATTTTTTGCCCCAATTAATGTAATGGTTTGAAGGGTACTGGTTCAATTTAGAAGATGCTGTATATGAAAATGAGAATAACAAATGGGAGAGGCACAATCTGATGCTGATTTTATTGGTTTGTGGCTTCATTACCTAGAATATTGCCTTTTACACTGTGTAGGTTTATCCCCTGAATATAATGAGCACAGTGTACCTGAAAGCAGCAGAAAGGCCTGGAATTTCCACAGAGGGTATAATGTTTTCCTTTAGTGCTGCTCCACACCCATCTTTCCCAAATCAACTCCAATGTGGTGATGTTATATGAAATGAACCAGCCTTCTGGACATCTTCCACTCCTAGCTATGGGCTAAGCAAGGGTGTTTTAGCATGCAGTGCTGGGGCCTGGGTAAGCTATTGACTCAATACTGTGATCATCTTATGTGATTCTAGCAACCACATACTTAGGAAGAGGGTTCCCAGCCTGTCAGTAGATTTATGCTATCTTAAGGCAGGCCGTGGCTAATTGAGAAAGGTTTGTGGCATCTGAGAGATGGAGTTTCAGGAATGTGATTAAAAGAAAAGGAGGGGGAAATGTGATTTGTACTGTTTGGGGGTGAAAAGGGTATCTGGGTAATTTTCCTTTAAGTCTGCAGTAAGTCATTGTGTTATTTTTAAACCTTTTCAGGTAACACATATAAAAAGAGAATGCATATTTGTTAATAAAACACCTGGCCTAACAATGATTTCTGTTTTCAGAAGTGAAGCATAGTGTTTTCACTAGATCCATCCCTTTCTTATTTTTCTTAACAGATGGAGAAACTGAGTCCTGAAAGGTTGCAACATCCTTGAAGAACTAAAGTAGCATATGGCTTATTCAGGAGGTAAAGATGAGAACGGCTTCTACTTAGTTGGTGCCCTGTTGAAGAGAAATGCTTTTGCTCAGCTCGGTGAGTATTGACCTACAGATTACATCACTTAAGATTTTTTTAAAAAAGTTAAACTTACATAGAAAAAAAAATACATGTGTTGCTTTTAAAATGGAGGCTTTCAACAGCATTTAGATCTATCCATATGTTATGGTTTAAATCAAATTAACCAGCCAATTTCAGATCTGTTTTTTTGGAAAGCTTAGGTATATATTCACTTGAAGTTTCTGTCATATCACAGCTTGTAAAAGTTACTTCCAAATGGTCTTTCATTTACTGGTTAAATTAAGGATGTTTCTCTGAGGAAGAGGTCATGTGCTCCTAATTGGCACTGCCATTCTTCCCTGTATACTCTGTGCTGTTCCTGCCTTTCACTCGCCTCTGAAACATCGCGCTCCCTGTGTTCTGAGTGCTTCCTTTTTGGTGCCTCTCTGTCCCCAAGTACCTGGCCTCCTGGAGGACACAGGGCCCAGCAACTCAAGGTTAGGTAGAGGACCCTACCAGACAGCTCTGTCTGCCCACCCACCAATGAACAGTCACAGTGAACAGGTCCTCTTTCTGGAAAGCTCTCCTAGGGTTCCAATCTGCAGCCAAAGTAGAGAATTCTCGCTGCAATGAGTGGAGGACTGGTTTCTTGGGGAAGAAACTTAGGAAGTGACATGGATGACATAAACCTCTATTCAGAATCCATGTTTGAGGTCTAAGGAGAATATGAGAGGTTTTCTCATACTCTCTCACGGGTCTTCATTTGGGGACAGTATGACCACATTTAATCCTTACCACCACACTGAGGAAGAGATTATTTGCCTTGTCTTAGATATGAGGCTATAGATACTTAAGACAGGCAATCAAGTCATTTGCCCAAGATCACATACCTAGTAGACAATAAAGGCTGTGCATTAATCTCACTTATCTGATTTCACCAAACCATACCAAGAGAAAAATTTTAAAAATGGATGTTTGATATGTCCTTTCTTACTTGCATATCAATATAAATAACAACATACTGATTTTCAGGGCATGTATTTTTAGACTTGAAGAATTTTTGTCTTAATAGTGAGATTGAGTATTTATTCATAAAAACATTTTTTGAGGATCCACTATCTGCCAGACTCTGTACTGTGTGCTCTGGATGCAGCAGTGATAATATATAAAAACAAGTATTATTTTTATCAAGTCCTGAGATAGAATTAGAAGCTTTATCTGTGTATCTGCATATTTCATTTTGTCCCTTCTTCACTATGAAGACATTGAAACAGAGAACCCAAGATTAATCATGCCATCTTCCCATTGACTCACAGAATTACTGAACTAACAGGGTACTTCTGAGGTTACTTAGGGTCTGGGGAAATGTGAACTAATCCATTCTATTATTAACAAATTTCAAGAAGGGAGATTTCCGTAGGCCTTTGTGGTAGCTGCTGCTTTCGATTGTTAGAGCCTGTTGTGACGATGATAAATTACTTCTGTCCCATAAGGGTTGGCTGGTATAAATGTCAGTTTTAAGCTGAATACATAAAACATTTTTAAAAATCTTTAGTTTTTGAAATGATAAGCAGGGGGCCCTGGCAGGCGGTCAGACACCAGTTTGGTACTTGTGTGTCCTGAATCCTAAGCACGGTGGTGACAATCTCTGACAGTTACTTCTGTTTTTCTGTTGCAAACTATTTGTTCAGTTAACTCACTTTGCAATGTAGTTTAGAAGCTTCTAGAACATCTCTTCTAGTAGTTATCTCAGCCTCCTTCTAAATGACTTTACTTTTTTTTCTTCCAAAAGGCTCTATGCTTCATACAGAATTGTATACTATTTTTTTTGCATTCGATTAAACTTTTTACTGCCAACACTATTACAGATGTCCCCCATTCCGCTCCTTTACCCACTGCCACCCAGCCCCCGCCCCCTCCCCTCTGGCCATCATCACACTTGTCTGTGTCCATGGGCTATGCATATATGTTCTTTGGCTAATCTCTTCACCTTCTTTTATCCAGTCCCCCTCTCCCCACTCTGTATTTTTTGTTGATATAGTTAAGAGCCTGACTTCCTATTATAATAGAATGATCAGTTCCTGGGCTACAGACTTGAGTATGGTTTATTAAACTCTCCCATGTAGTAATTTGCCATCTGCAACATAATGACCATTTTCACCTCAAGTCTCAGATTTCATGATTGCGTTTATCCCTTGAAAGTGTAGGGGGAAATCAGAGACACTTTAAGTGCTTCCACCATGAGAGTGCCAGTTGTGGGGGAAACATCTCCCAAAAGAATAACTTGTCAATTTTCCCAGAATTTTCCCCATTGAAAGTGGTATACTTGTCAGATTCTGAGATAAAATGAGAAGTTTTATCTGTTCAAGTTCCATCATGTCCTTTTGAAACATAGAATCCTAGATGCATTCATTTCCTGGTCTTCAGAACTACCTGGTCTACTCAGCAGAGAGTTCCTGCTGTGTGAAGTATGTCATTTTGGTTGCTGGAGCCTTTTTCAGGCCTTTGTGGCTCCAGGGCTACCTCCCCTGCAGTCTGTCGGTCATACTTGGCTGGATTCACCTCACAATGGCTCTTTTATCCTGGTCCAACAAAGCAAAGTGCCCATGGGTAGAATCATGACTTTAAGTGCCCATCTTTTTTCTAGTTCTCAGTATCCTAATGTGACATTTTCCTCCATGTACCTATCTAAGATTGTGCTTCAGATGTAAGACAAAAGCACTGTCTAGGTTGCAGACTTACCATGAAATTTCACTTAATCACTGAAAGATCACATATGATAATGCATCAACTTTCCAAGGTGAAACTTTCCCATTGAAATCACTATGAATGTGGTGCTACTGGTGGTGGATTATATCTTGAAGATATTTTTAAGGCAACGTATTAACATTTCTCATTTATCCTTAGTAACTTAACACTCATCTCCATTTTAGTTATTTGTGTAATTATTTAATGTCTATATTTCCCACTGAAGTCCAAATGACACGACGACAGAAACGGTCATCACATTACCTCACATATATAGCAGCTGTCCAATCAATACTTGTTTTATGTGTATGTGTAATGTAGAGAGAGCACTGTGCTGGGACCCAGGAAACTGGGCTCCAGTTCCATTTTCGCCTCAGCAAGGTATACGCCCTTGGGCCAGTCACTTCCCACATCTAGACCACAGTCTCCTCATCTGTGAAATGAGGGCATGGGCAGGGAGATTCATAAGGTCGCTTTCAGCTTTATGAGTCTCCGTTTGTGTCTGACTAAATGGAGGAAGAATTGTAGCCAGTGAGTTGAATGCCACAACTTTGTTTCCAAACGCAGGCTGACTCCATCGAAGTGCCCTTAGGCTGGGAATGGCTGGCCCCTTGCCTTTCCAAAGAGATCTATGCCAGAACCCGAGTCACCTCCCTTGGGACATCTGAGGGCAGTATTTTCCAATTTTTTCTGTAGCAGCTGAATTCTCTTCAAAATAATAAAAGAATTTAAAAGACTGCTCATTACGTGTGGGCAGAAGCCATGTCAGCACTTAACCTATGCCTGAATATTTGCTGCGTGTAAATGGATAAATCCCAGAAAGGAGTTCAGAGGGCAGTTGCTTTGTTGGGAGTGGGGTGGAGACCCTGTGGCCTTCTCTGGCCAGCTTTACACTAAAACCTCATCAATTCTTTCACTTTAACCTAGCTACTGCTATATTTCAAGTGAGGTTTTGTTAACATGTAGTTGCTTCATATTTTTATCCATTCTCATAGTCTCTATCTTCTAATTTACATGTTTAGACAATTTGAGTTTAATGTCATTATTTATTACGTTATGCTGAGATTTGTGCCTATAATTTTTTATTGTTTTCTGTTTATTCTATTTTCATTTCTCTGTTTCCTGTATTCAGCCTTCTTTTGAACTATTTGAATATTTCTTAGCACTTTATTTTGATTGGTCTCTTGTATATCTCTTTGTATCTTTTTTTCCTTTTTAGTGCTTGCTCTGGGGATTGCAATATACATACTTCACTGACAATTTAGAATCAACATTTTACCACGTTTAGTGGACTATAGAAACCTTACCACCATATAGGTATTTTTGTCCTCCCTTCTTTTTTTACTTTTATCTGTTATATTTGCATACATTGAAAACCCCATAGAAAATGTTAGAATTTTTGCTTTCAACAAAGAACTCAAGAGGAGTATAGTGTTTTATATTTGCCCAGATATCTACCATTTTCTTTGCTCTTTCTTCATTCTTCCTGTTTTTGGGGGGCATCATTTCCCTTTTGACTAAAGAGCCCTCTTTAGCTATAAACTTAGACAAAATCAGCTGCTAATGAATGATCTTAGTTTTCCTTCATATGAGGTTCCCTGAATTTCACTTTCATCTGGAAGGATATATTCACTGGACATAGAATTCTGTGTTGACATTTCTTTTCCACAAGTGCTTTAAAAATGATGTGCCACTTCTTTCTCTCCCCTGTCATATTTAGTGAGAAATCCATAGCCTTATAGATAATATGCCATTTTTCTCTCAGTTCTTTCAAGATTGTTTTCTTTGTCTCTTGTTTTTAGCACATTTTTCTTTGAGATTATTCTAGATGTGGTCCACTCTGCTGTTTGAATTGATAGATTTATGTCTCCGAAGTTTTCAGCTATTATTTTGTTAAAGTATGCACTCTTTCTCCTGCCTTTCTGGGACTTCCATGACACAAATGGCAAACCTTTCGTTATTGTCCTCTAAATTCCTGGGGCTCTGTTGTTGTTTTTTAAAATTGTCTTTTCCAGTTCAGATTAGCTAATTTTTATAAGGATTTATCTACAAGTTCACTAACTTTTATCTCCATGCTGCATTGAGCCCATCCAGTGAGTTCTTATTTCAGGTCTTTTATTTTTCAGTTCTAAATTTTCCAACAGTCTACTTCATAGCTTTTATATCTTTGCCCAGACTTTCTATTATTCCACGGGTTTCAAGATTACTCGTGATTGGTTGCTGGTGCATTGCAATAGCTGCTTTAAGGTCTTTGTCAGATAGTTCTAACATCTGTGTCATTTCAGCAT